TCGGTTTGAAAGATGAAAAAGGAAAAAGCATGCATTATTTCTATCAAATAATCAAAATGTACTCAGACTTTTTCCAAAGGGATGCACTATCATTCAAAACCTGTTATGGCCATAAACTTTAACTTGGCAAATTTACAGATGCAGAAAGAAAGGCAAAGTCAAATTTGAAGAAAGTGGCTCAAGATCCTTAAAAGTTTTCAGTGGCTCTTAAAATGATATCTGCTGCAATATTGGTTCAGCATCCATTGCCTCAACATTCTTTCTAGAGATTTCTAACCACAGTTTTAGTATATATAACACTACAGTTTTATTTTGGTGGGATTGAATTTAGCAGCTGATGTTGCATTTTTAGTTTTCTCTTATTCTTTTCAATTATTCATAAAGACCACAAGTTACTCGTTGTTTAAAAAAATTATTCAGACTTCATAGTGAAGAACTCAAAACTAATAGTAAATATATCCCTAATTCCTCGACCCCATAAGTGTGAGTTAAAGATCTAGTTACTTTTTTCTCTCAAAAAGGAAAATGCAGATGAGACAGGTTGAATTCAGTGCCTACAGGCACATGTGTCAGAGAACTGGTAAACCTGCCCTCTTTCCCAGCAAGGCTACCAAGCCTGGTATTGACCTGGGTTCCTGCCTTAGAATCTGCTGCTCCAGATTAATATAGTGAGACTGGACTTTGTGGAATCAAGAATTCTTGAGAAGGAGCCTTCATTTCCTCCTGTTTTCCTTCCTCTCTCCCAGCACTAACAATCCCAAAGCCACGAGTCAAAGCTTAATTCTGCTTTGACCGTGGTGGAGTCTCACTCCACCTAGACAGAGCCCTTCTTCCCTGGAAGAAAACACAATTTGCCAGAAATCCATCCTTGCCTCATCCTTTCATGGTCCATTTAATTTACCTCTGGATGGATTTTTTAGTAAGGGGGTATTGAACATTCTGTAGGAAAGCTCATTGGCTCCTTGGTTTCCTCTTTGGCAGATCTGTGTACATTTAGGTCTCAGGTGCAGGATGAGCCATGTAGTTTGAGTGGAGCACTCTGCTGTACTAAGCTTACTCACTACACAGCCTCCCAGGAGCATCAAAACCGTCCTTTTTGTCCCACACTGCTTTCCATGCCCTGAAATGGTCAGAAGACCCACTGAGTATCTTGGGAGAATGACTGTCTTTAAAGTTCCTAAGGAATTTTTGGTTAAAATTTTGAAAACTGCTCTGCTACCCACTATCTGAGTTCTGATTTTCTAGTCTTTAGTAGTCATCTATGTCTGTTCACTGGGCGGCTTAAAACTACTGGAAGTAAATTCAGCTAAATCATGTTTTTCCAAAGTGGGGTGGCAGGGGTAAGGGGTACCTCTGACTTCTCCTCTAACCCTCTCCAAACATCTATTTGCAGTGGAATGAGCTGAGGACAAGCAAGGCCCTGTGAGGCAGGCCTGTGTCTCATCCCCCTAGGTCCAGGATTCCAATCACTGCTCAAGATTGGAGATGATTCAGGGATAATAGACCTGGGTCCCAGCCTTCATCCTGTCCATTTTCATCATGGTTTTCAGAATAACTATGAATGGCCAAATTGATTAGGAGCTCTAGAAAGCCAAACACAGTGGGAGTGGTGTTAACTGCATAGATTCTACATTTCCATAGACCTGAGTTAAACTCCCAATATATTATATACTAGCTGAGTGACCTTGTGAAAGTCATTTGACTTCTCAGAACATCATATCCTTTACTTGCAAAATAGAAATTGTGGTAACTACCTGTATGATCTGCGTGAGGATGAAGTCAAACAAAGTACGACAAGAATTTAGCAGAGTACCTGAAACTACTGTGTAATGAACAACAGATTATAATACATAGTGCTTTGAAATGTGAAGTAGATTAGATTATTTTATTATCTGTTACTTCTGTGCAAAACATGGTGCTGAGTGGTATGGAGACTCAAAAAAAATTTAAGCTTTCTCCTCAAAAACTTTGTAACTTAATTGCTAATTGAGGAGACAACACAGAAACCCATTTAAAAAAAATGCAAAATAGCAGCTGGACACAACCTCTCCTGGAGAGCGGAGTGTTCCCAGTAAAGTCAAGTCCAAGCCTGAGACAGATGCTGCCTTAAGTAGTGGTCTATGAGCCATACCTGAACCAACTAGGGCAGGTTATGAAATAGCATTCAGCACACATCTGACAAATAGCTATTGACTTACCCTGTGCCAGACACTGTGCTGGGTGACAGGTATGTCCATCTTCCTGGGATTTAAGAAGCATTCAGGATCTGTTTGAGGCATTCCATAGGAATTAACCCTTACCCTTCAACAAAACTAGGAGGGGGCTGAATGAAGAAACTAAGCACAATAGGTTAAATAACTTGCCCAAGGCCACATAAATAATATGCAGGAGAATTGGATCAAAATGTACCAAAGTGGTTCTAGGGCCTGGTGACCTCATGCTTTCCACTCTCTGACAGCACCTGGTATTATAAGGGACCCTTTCATGCCTCTAGTTTGGCTCCTTACTCCTCTTTATCCTGGGTGGTATGATTGGGGCTTATTCTTTTCCTTCATTTCAGCACTGAAAACTTGAGGAAGACTGAAGTGTCCCTGTGGATACAAGTTAGGCCCTTCACTGAGAAAACTATGTCATCAGTTACTGTATTTAAGCCAATTACACTCTTATTAAAAAATAAAAATTACTAAAACTTCCATTCATTAAAAATAACTGCTTTATGGGAAGTTTACTTCATAATCTAATAAACCAGATTTTTTTTTAACCTGAAAGCAGTTGTGGGCTTTGAAGTATTACTTAAATTGTCCTAGACGCAGATTATTTATAAAATTGAACTGTCACTTTCTTACCAGAATGCAAATTAATAGGCTCTCTTGATTTCTGCACTTGAGCATAAATCCTCTTACATAAAACACTGTGAAATTTGGAGGGCTACAATCTGAACCCCTCTCTCTGTCTCTAGCAGTACAAAGCAAAGAACACAAACTGTGAGTAATAACTGAATGGAGGAAGAATGCTGACTCAGAGCCTAACATTACCTCCTTTCCTAGTTCTTCCACTGTCAGAGAAAAATTTGAAAGAAAAAAAAGAAAAACTGCCTCCTATTTGCAAAGGGAAAACATCATAAAAAGAGAAAAATGGCTGCCGAAATAGTTGCAGCACATAAATTTTTTAAAAAGATGGGTGCAGTCCTTCCTTATGCTCTTTACAGAACCTAGACCACCACCGGCACACATCACCATACTAGACCAGGTGCTAAGTTTTATTCATGGTTAGCAAATGACACACAAAAACCAAAAATTGTCCCATGAAGTTGAAATCAAAGAGCCCTCATCAGCAGTCTTACACAGGAGAGTCCACACATGTGTATGCTAGAGGCAATCCTGCAAGAGGCGCATGCTTCCTGGGAGCTGTGCTAAACAATGACAGATTACAAAATCCCAGTGTGATGTGTTGGAACTTCACACACACACACACACACACACACACACACACACACACACACTTATGAAAAACACTGCCAAAGTCCTTCAAAGCCAAAGTTTAAAAGAACACGTGTTATGGACATAATAATAGTCATTTCAAAATCACTCCGTTTATGAATCCATTCCTCATCTCTTTTATCACTTTGGCACACTATTTAGGAAATAACAGAGAAAGAGAAATATGAAGCAAGAGACAGAAAATTTAATTATAAAACAAAGCCACCCACCTTACAGGAAGTACAATGGCCTTCTTTTGCAGCACCAGTGTGTTAAGTGATCGTGCATCTATTTAAAAGAAAAGAAAAAATTTGTAAAGAAATAAAAGGAGCAATATCTCAGTCCTTCTCAATCAAAAAATAAGAATATAAAAATGAATGAAAGCACCATGCTCTGGGCTTTCTGGTACAAGGCAGAAAACAGAGTCCTCAAGTCCTTCCCCTGTTTTGCAAAACTAAAGGAAAACAAAAAATAACTGCAAGAGAAGTTGTCTTGGTGAGAGGGAAGGACCTTAAAACACCTTGTGCCCTCCTGGGTCCCTCCCAATGCCTTCAGTCGTGGGTTGTAGAAGCCGGCACTGTTCAACACCAATGTCACCATTGGCTGTTTAAATGGCACAAAAGTACACTTAGAAATGAGAGGAAAGTGACTGACACGGATATGCTGAGCCAGCCCCACTGCCACGAGAAGAGCCTTAAATGCCCACACAAGGAGAATAAAAAGAAAAGCACATTTTGCAATAGAATAAATTCTTTTTTTTTTATTGAGACCGCTGAAAGTCACATGACCCTGAATGTAGCTTTTTAGGAAAGCAACTGAAATGGTAAAGAAAGGAGTGGGGCTGCCTCCTTCCTCCCGTAGCCTCTCAGCCGCGTGTCCGCATTCTTCTGGGCGCATCTGTGGAGCTATTAAGTGGGATAATCCCTCTGGCCTTTGATACATTTCTGGACATGATTATTTCATTACTCGCAGTATATCAGTAGGATCATAATAAAAAGGACTTCTGACAACCTGCCAAGAGTTTTGTGGCCTTGTAAACACAAAAGTGCTCTAATAAAATTTTATTAAGTGTTAAAAAGTCATAAAAAGTGAAATAACATAAACTACAAAATTTACTGTCCTCAGCAAATGCTGAAAATATCGTCCACAGTAAAATTAAATTAGCATGTAATAGACAGAGAAGCAGTGTGGAGTGGATTTAAAAGAGGATCCAGGGAAAATGACACTGTAACCCAATCAGGGTCACGGGGATTTAATTCGGATTTTTCCCACTAAATGTGAATAAATGTGCTGATTACAGACAAGAGCTCCGGGGTTACCGGAGTCTCACACATTGTCAATACTTTGGAAGAAATAATATATTGCAGATTGTAATGAGCGCAGGGAGACCGCGCGAGCGTCTGGGGGGGGAGGCGGCGAGGGAAAGGGTGTCCACTAGGGCGCGCTGCGAGACCGGGAATCCCCGCCAGGGCGCCCACGCCGCCCGAAGCCGCGCACGCCTAGCCCTCGTCCCCTCGAAATCCCATTTACAGTGAGAGGTACCCCCACTCCTGTGACATTTTCTGCAAATTGGAAGAAAATGAAGTGTTAAGTCTAGCTTTGCCGCAGGCAGCCCTCGGTTCCCGCTTTCAGAATGGGAGCCCAGGATGGAGATACGCTGTCCCCGGCGATGCTAAATCCCCAGGGGACGCACTGCCCCCCTCCCAGGCAAGCGCCCGTGGACTGGCCGCCCCGCCCCGAAAGCTCGAAGAACTAGCGAGGCCTACGTCTAGCTCTGCGCTGGGCACGGGTGCGCTCGGATTGCGGTGGGCCATCCGCCCAATCGCGGGTTCAAGTGCGTTCCCGCGCTTGACACCACCGTTCTGGGAGTGAGTTCTTCCCTGCCCAGCCCCGTTCCCGGTTTCAAAGTGCCCCACTACCCTGGCGACCTCTCCCCGCCTCCCTGTCCCCCTGGGCCGCCCGCCTAGGGCTCGAATCCCCGCGCGCGGCTCCGGGTGGTGGCAGAGGCGCGCCGGCGCGGGCGAGAATCGAAACCCAACTCCTCCTTTGCCAGGAGGGTCTCCTCCGAGCCCGTCGTGAAAATCCTCCGGGAAAAGAAGTCGGGCTTCCTCTCCACGCAGCTCCAAGTGGACTCCGGAATCGGCAGGAAGTGGCTCCTCGAATTGCGCCTTTGCAGACCGCCTTTGCTTTGCTCAAGAAAAGCAGCTCCCACTCAAGTCTTGTCTCCCCCTTCCCTCGAAAGCCCCGCACAGGTTTGTAAAGAGGGGAGCGAGGTCTGAAAAATATTCGTCTTCCAGGGAGTGAAATGTTGGTTACGGCGCGCAAAGAAAGATGGGTGCTTTTTAGCTAGGAAAAAATCAACATGCCACGTCTTGTTTTGCAGTTCCAGAATGGTGCCAACGCTACCCTCTGAAGAGTCCGTATCGCTGGGTTAATTGCAACTTAGTGAAATGGGAAATAATTGGGCAGTGACGTGTTTCGTGGCATCATTTCTCCTTAGGAGTGTCTAAGATTTTAAGTTTGTTTTAAGCAAGGTTTTAAGACTTGCCATAAAGTAAACTTTGTAAGTCAATCGGTTACTTAAAGCCTAGAAGAGGTAAGTTAAAGTTACCATGTACTATACAATCCTCCAGTTTCTTTTAGAAGCTTGCATAGGTGACTAAGGCGAGGGCATCTTGCATTTTTAATTTTCCAAATGGCAAGGGCGTTTTGGTTTTAAGGTAGCAAGGTTAATGTTCAAGGGCAAATGGAGCCTCGGAGGGTCTCTTGATGAACAATGTTTACTTAATACTTGAGGCATGAAATAAATATGATTTACAGTACAAATTATACCTCATGTTTTCAACTTCTTTAGTTATAAGTTATATGAGAAAGGCGATTAACAATTTTTAAATGACAATGTTTTATTTGCAAAGTATATTGAATTTGAAATAGGCTGGAACAGCAGGGTTAAAAAAGCAAACAAGTCAACTTAAAAGTGGTTTGATATTTGCTATCAAAGGCTTTGAGAGCTAATAAAAACAGAATTAAAAAGAATGGATATAAATAATAAAACTCCATTTTGACCCAATGTGCCTGTCCCCAGGGACGGGACAGATGACACTCAGGACTCCTCGATTTTGAGCTAGTCCCTGCAGACAGCAATTGTGAATGTGGTAGGTCAGCATTGCCTTTGAAAATGCAGGGCAAGTATGTTTATGGTAGTACAGAAACAAAAATTTTTACTACCTAGGATTTCCTCAGTAGTTCAGCCTAAAAGTTTTGCATTTAAAAATTTATGATAAACATTTCTTCATTGATTTATGAAGTTCACAAGGAAACTTTGTACTTGTATTATTTTGTTCAATGTTCACATTTCAGATTGAAGTTCATTTGTCTTTCAAAAGATTTTATAAAAAAACATTTTTATAAAAAAGTTTCACAAAACATAATCATTGTTTTTACCTCTTCAGCTACACATATGATTGCTGACATCTTTTTTTAAATTTTAAATAAGATTAATATTACCCCATTCTGGGAGTTTAATGCAAAGAAGAGGATTTCTAAGCCTGAAAATGCAGTCTATATAAAATTGTGAGGTCAAACATTTTTGTAAAGCAACTTGGAAATTTATATATATTAAATGAATATGAGAACATATTGTAAAGTACTTTTCTCACATCATTCCTCCTCCTTCCAAAAAGTTAAAAATTCAGACTGTTTTCCATCCTATCGTAATGCAATCATCAGATATTTTAAAAATCATAATAAACAGTTCTGTTAAGATGGTGACTAGCCTTCAAAGTATTATTAAGAAAATATAAGAATATTCTCAACCCTTAATATGTTTGAGGGACTTGAAAAAGTGAGAAGTTTGTAGACACATTATGCTACTGAAATCTGTGAACATTAAAATGTCTAAGTAATTACATAATTATATTCTGTCTAAGTAGCAGAAGTATTTTTTCCAACTACTTTTTAAACTTTGAAATTTTTATGTTTTAATTAGTGGCTTTCTTTTAAATGTTGCAAATGTTTAGTTTAATCATCTGTATGATAAAAAATTATTGGAGTTTGTTCTGTTGACTTTCTGTATTAAAAAGCTGATAAATATTTTATATTGATCGTCTTTTGATATACATGGAATAAATTTGAACATGTGCCTTGTTGGACTAAAACACAATACAAGTCCATTTCTCTTTCTAAAACTTGGCATTGATCCTGGTCACACTTTTTTTTTTTTAATCATACGAAATGCTATTGAAATCAATTTGAATATGACAATTTACAGGAAAATTTGAAGTCTGCAAATTTTACACAAAAGAAAATATACTAAGATACAAAGTAGCTAATAGTTAAAGTTGTATCAGGAGGTATCATTTTGGGATTATGATTTTAAAATTAGTTTTGTACTCATGAAGGATTTTCTTTTTATTTGTGAATATCTAAATTTTTCTACCCTGCAGCTTCAAAATTCAACAACCAAATACCAAATGTATTTTTAAGGTGACTAAAGCAGATTGGTTTTATGGAAGCAAGCAAACATTCAATATTGTATTTTAAAATATAAACTTAATTTTAGTTTCTGACAGAAATCTTGTGACCCCTCATCAGTTTTCCAGATCAGTTTTAAAGCAACTTGTAAAAACTACCTTTTCCACATTAGAAGTTCATATTTAAGTTTCCTTAACTGCAAAATCATTCTAAAACAGAGTGTTTTATGTGAAGGGCCATTTCATGTGTTGGTCCCATCGATTACTTATGAATGTATAAAAATCTTGTTTAAAGACCAGTAAAAGTGAGGAAATTCCAAGTCAAGCTGCCTGATTCCATTCATAATTCATCCCGAGTGCCTGATTTAGGAAACTTGCAAACAGTTTATAGCTATACATACAAAATAAGTTTGCTTGCTTTATAAGCGGGGAAAACAGTTCACTTTGACCTCCTTGCTCAGAGAAGCTTAACTTGATAAAACTATGGAATGTGGGCTAAGCTTTTTGGTTTCTCAGGAATTTTCCAATCTCAACCCTTTATGGATTTTCACTTTTTTTTTTTTTTCGAAATATAAACACACAAAGACAACTTTTTGTTCTGAGGTGGGATTGGCTTTCTCCCAACCATTTCCTTCCCCCTGTGTATTGGTCCCATCATCCCGTCATCCGAGTGTTGGGGGGACAGAAGCCCAACAATGAGAAAAAGAGCATGTACCATTTCTCTGCCCCCTTCATCATCCCCACTGCCCTTTATTTTGAGGAATTTAATACTGACACATAGTTCAAACTGCTACCTCCACAGCCCTAAGGACTTTGAGAATTGGCAAGAAACCCATGTAGACTTTTGGATTCTGAGCTGGGAAAAGCGAATGGGGAATCCCATGCCTCATACTGGGGCACTCACAGGCTATCTTCCAGATCTTAAGCAACCCATCTGCTCATTTTCCAAAAGCTGCTCTGTAGGCTCATGCTTTCCCTTACTTTTGATCTTCAGGAAGACTTTAAAACATTTTCATGGAGTTTCTTAAATATTCCATGGAATCGTAATTTTAAACCAGACTAATTTTAAGGGTGAAAACTGGCCCAGAGAGAGTCTTTACATTGTAACTTCAATCTCCTGGGAACTCAAGTGACATATATATATATATATATATATTTCTTGAAACCACGGGTTTCTGGTGGAAAAGGTTACCATCTACTTGGAGTAGCTGTTATTGTCAGGACCAGGTAATATCCACCCAACACACTTCATTAAACCGGAACAAACGTGACACTGAATGACTGGCTCCCAGTTTTCCTGAATGTAGGTCATTTTGTGTCCTTACAATTTAACGTTTGAAGGGATTTCCTGTCTTTGAAGTATAGTAGTTTGTCACCTGTGTGGCTAACCTCCTTACAAGTTGAGGCTCTGTTCGTACTTTGAAAGACTGAGTGACTCCATGTTCCCTGCCTGAATTTCCCGGCCCGCTGGTTGCAGACTCTGCAGCTGCGGGACTTTCTTACAAGTCAGTGCCTGCAGATCCCCTGTACCAAGCTTCATTCCTCTAGGTCAGAGAGCCTAAAAGAAAGGCCTGGAGCCATCCACTCACCTGGTGAAGCCATAAAGAGGTAAGCTTTCATAATGAGAGGCCATATATCAAAATTCATAGCTTTCTAGAACCGGAGTAACTAGTGCTCAGGCATTAGGCTCTCATGCCAGAGCATAGCACAGTAACTGGTGCCAAATGTGCCACAGTAGGTGAAACAGATCTAAGTAGTAAAGCAACCAATGTCCTTGTAAAGACATGATATTCTTTTCTAATTTAAGAATTCATACTACTTCATCATATTTTGTGATTCGGAGCCTACAATTAAATGTTTCTAGTAAAATGCGAGTATTTGAAAGAAAATACCTTTCATAAAATGTATTAGGAGACAACTGTGAATTGTTTCTAAAAATGATGGGCATGCTTATTTTTACCAAATGGTACAAGTGCATGCGAGCTCTTTGGAAACCATAGCACACCCTTCAAACGAAACCTATTTGCAGGGATTTAAATAACTTTGATTTTACCACACCCACCAACTAATCCTTGTATTCTTACTGCAAAGACCTAACTTGTCCTCTTGGAGAAACTTTCCAATTGTCTGAAAGCCTGAGCACAAATAAGGCATCTTTGTAATGCAATCAAGAGTTTTTTTCATCTAATTTTAAAGTAAGCATTTAGAAGTTTATTGACTTCAAGGGCTTTCTTTCAGAGAACTGGATATGTGTATGTGACATTAGGACACTTTGCTAAGTCTTTCGAGGGATGTGGTTCAGTGGTAGTTGCTTACTTTGTATGCTCAAGGCCCTAGATTATTCAATCTCCAACACTGGGGGGGGGAGGGGAGGAAGAGAAGAAGATATTTGAAAACTGAGTGAAAGAAGTCAAAAATAGATTTCAATCCAATTCATTATCAAATAAGAAACTATACAGAAAATTAAATATGTCAAATGGAGGAGTGTTGTCCTAAATTCTGTTTATGTAATTCTGTCACAATAACTTGGAAGGCAATTTTAATGCCTATGCACTTCCTTTTTGTGGATATTAATCACTTTGTCCCACTTAATTTCTCTGGAAGAAATTGTAATCTTGGTAACAGAGTCAGCCCTAGATTGTGAATGGACACCTAGCAGGCTGCTTTCTGGCCAGAAGCAGTGACCCATCTGGAGAAAATGCCTTTAGCATACATCTTCACAAAGCATCCATCCCAAGGGCATACAACCTATGTTCCCAAAGCAAGTGACCACACTATGTCCAGCCAAGAGGGTAGACGCCACACTCCCACATTTGTCTCAAGCTTCTGAAGGACCCTGATTCTAGTCTCTACTTTTAGCAACTATAAGCCAAGTTTAAGTTATCAGAATGGATTCTATAGCTACCAAACGAAAATCCTACCTTTAGTTACATGTTCCCACACCTTCCATACAGGTTAAATGTTCTAGTCACTCCTGATTACATCACAAATGATTTGAGAACAGGACAGGTGGGAGCAGGGCACAAAGGAACAGCTGACAATCTCCACAGACTTCAAGCACTTGGAACCACTTTGAAGTCACCCAGCTGCTCTGATGTTTTAATTGTCTTCAGTGAAACTCCAAAAACCCCATAATGTCTACCTTAAAAGCATCAGGAGTATTTTAATTGGGTAATAACCATCCATATTTTTCTTCTGATAAATTAAAAGGAATTAAGAATGAAATTTTATGATGATTATAAACTGTATTACTGACCCAAGGGACAAGAACAATTATGAAAAATATGTCCTATGTATTTGGCATGAATATGAATTTAAACTTTTAAACCATTCATCTTAAAAGCTCAAGCATCTTATTAAAGCTTTGAAAATAATATTCTCATGATACTAACAGGATAACTTATAATCATGATTGATATTATATCATCAATATTGCAGCAGGCTCTATGCCAAACATAGAAACTGACTTAATCTTTGCCTACGGGGCTTATAATAAAAAATAAATCCACCATAAAAAGATGGAAAATGGTAAAAGAAATAGTATTGGAGAATAGTTTTTCCCTTTCTTTTTCAATTAAAATTACTAACAATGAGAAGAAAAAGTGATTTTTGAAAATGGTGGAAGCAAATTGGACTTTTACTACTAAATATCTGGGAGGATCTGATCAAAAACCTTAATAATTAGCAGCTGTTTGAGGGCAAGTTCCATTTACAAGAATGTGAGTCATCATTTGAGGGTAACTCAGGGAGTTTAGCCTAGTTGAGGCCAGGTCTCTGTATGGAATATAGCTTGGAGCACAAGAGTATTTCTAGCTGCTGGTCAAGGCCATCAGTTATCAGTAAACTCTGGTAAAACTTTTTGACTCAATTGAAAATGACAATTGGTAAATTGTCCCACTGGAAAATGGGAAATTGGCAAAGACAATGTGGCTAAAAAAAATGGACACACTAAATGGAGGGGCAGACTGTGTTGGCATTTTATGCATGCTTGTCGGCAAAGCTCTAGCACTTCCCAAACACTTAATTGTATGTTAGCAAAATGGAGCCCCATAGAGTGTATATTTAACTGTGAGTAATTTGTTCCACTTAAGTCTTAGTACTTGTTAGCAGGACCTACCTCTGTAAAGACTAAAGAGTGTACATCCAGATTTCTAACCTCTGCCCCCAGGTCTAAGTTTAGTTCTAGCTTCACTTTGTGACCTCTGACAATTTACTTAATAGGTCTGTGCCTCAGTTTCCTTGTTTGTGGAATGAATACAGTAATGAATGCCTTGCACAATGTCCACAAAATATCTTGAACAGACTTTGCCGTCAGTAAATTTCGTATACTGGAGTGGCAGGAGGTAAACAAGACAGAATCTTTGTACTCATGGTTTTGTATCTCCTAAAATTCTAGAGGTTGGTCAAGGAAAAAAGAGAGCATCTAAATGCACAGCTGTAATACTTGAATCTTGTTCACATTCAGAAACAGCCTTGAACTCAAACATGAGCTTTTAGTGCTAGCTGACCTTCCCTCCTCCCATCACCACCTGAAGGAAAATATTTTCCTGTAGCAAAACAGAACTTAATTCTTTTCACTCTGAGTGATAACCTTTACCAGACCAGTCAGGTTAAAAACTGACCCAAGGCCCTGAGGTAGGCAATTTCCATGAGATAAGGGGAAAGGATTTGCTAATTCATTTTGGGCCCT